GTCTTTTTTGAGAGGACCCCCCAAAAACACGACAAAGCAAAAAACGTTGTCCCTTTCTGGAGTCTGGTTTCGCTTTAGGACCACCCAAAAAGGGGTACCCTCAAACAGCGACCACCCAAACGCGAAGTTGTCCATGAAGCATGGCCTGACATGATGTCCAAGCGCAATTTTGCTGCTTGCTAAAAAGAACGTGTACATTGCCACATACCAGCCTGCCGGAGAAACACATGACGTCGAAACTTTCATTCCTGAATTTTTGCGTCACAAGCAACATCACAAGCAAGGTTAAACACATGACCCTTTTTGTGATGCCATGGGCCATCCCTGTGACAAGTCAAGTCGAACCAAAGCCCGCCTCCTGGCGCCAGGGAGCAAAACACCTGGGCGTGAGTATCTGCCAGGGAGAGGGGAAAGGGGAAGCAAAAGCAATGCTCGGTTGCGAAATCTGCTCCCCTGCTAAAAGTGAATAACTTTTAGTGGTTTAATACGGAAACCCCATTAGTTGGCAAAAAGTTGAAGTCCTAACATCCCTTGGCAAAATGCACCAAATAATGTGCCCACTTCAGACTGGCTGAAGCCAGAGGTTTGAATGCAACCGCGATTTTTCGGTACTAAACTGCTGAGCGGAAATGTACGGAGTTCAAATGCCGCACCCTCCAAACCAAACTTGTCGGATCAACGCAGTCTCTATTGAACCTGTTTCCAACAATTTTACATCGGTCGCTTGTTCAACAACTGGGTGGACTTTTGGAAAGCCAATCATGTTGACCCCAGATTAATAAACCCCTGTTTATTAACATGGGGGTGTCCCTGGTTGTAGTGGGGATTTCTCGCTTTTGGAGCGAACACCCCCATATTAATAAACAGGTGTGTATTAATCCGGGTCAACATGATCCAAGTCCACTTGGCACTGCTGTGATTCTTTCAGACTTCAAGGTGAGCAACTTGTACCAAGTAATACATCCATATCCGCAAGCCAAATTCAATTCAAGCGTTGGCAGGTTGCACCGTCAACACCCGATTTGGTATTTCCTCGACTGGACTTTGACCGTCGTTGACGAGATGGCAAATTGTCCGTGCCATTTGGCACATGAAGGAAGATACCCAGATTGGCAAGGCAGATCAACCCCCAATTAGTCAAACAGCCTCAGTGACAAAGCACGGGATCCAATAAAGAATCGACTCCGTCATGGCCTTCAAAGGCATCAGAATACATTGCTGTAGATGGCTGATACATCAGCACCGCCAACTCTTGTCTGACAAGGCTCTGGTAGGACATAAAACAAGCAATGCCAGCAACACTCTGCATATCTGTCACTTCGCCAGCAGTAGGTAATCAACTCCACTAGCAGGGTCAACATCGGTTCGACGGTTCAATCAAGAACTCCAAAGGAACCGAAACAATCTATACATGATGTCCTTACCCTCACTTACGCAGAAATTCGGGAAACCTAATGCAACCGGTTCTAATTGTTGTTGGTATTTTGTGCGAAACCAATTGGCCATGGGTCAACACCCCGTACCCGAAGTGAACATCCCCATCCCCACTCAAATAGACAAAAATGAGTTGTGCACCTATCCCAAAATGGTACCACTGGTTTTGAACTATGGCCAACTAGAACAATGAAACAACACAGCGCCTGCCAAAACACATCTTGGTAGCCTCCACCAAATTCGCAGCCATATCGGAAGTCTGCTACCCAAGCACCGCCGGGCAATTCCAACAAGACCGGAGTGAGAGCCCCGTGCCCCACCATTCAAAGTGCCCCAAACAATCTGTCACATGGTCATCCTGTCATCCTATGGTACACACCAAAACGCAGTAGCTAGAAAGGCCTCGAAAGACGACTTTGCAACCCGAACATTTAATTGATGCAAAGAAAACACGTCGCCCTTGTTGATGTTTTTTCTGCAGAGACTTGGTTTAACTTCTCCAACCAATTCCTCGTTGCAAACATGCTTGCAACCAACGCCCAAGGAAAGGTACTTGCAGCGCCTGATGGATCAACTAGGTCCTCCAGTAGAGAGTTTAGAATAAGGGTACCCTTTTTTCCCGTAGTCTATTTTAGTAGGGGAGCCCTTCCCCAAAAAGGGTAAAAGGGCACCACTGGGGGACCAAGTCAACCTTGTTCAGACCACATCGAGCAGCCCAAGCAGAGTGCCACTGAGCTTCAGGCAGGTTCAAGAGAATTTGATTGGCGGCTGGCGATGGCAGCACCTTCCGGCCCGAGCGAAGGGGTCAAAATCCCGTACCCATCCCAATCCAGGTGAATGGGAAACCAAAGCACCACAGCACCAATAGCCACCAATCAGCAGCTTCGCTGAACTGCATGTTCTCAAGAGGCTGCGCGGGGAAGGCAGATCCATGGGATTTATGGGCAACATCGTGGTCGACAACAATAACTCAGAGCAGGTGAACGGTCGACATGTGACATTTGAGTAAAGAAAGGCACAAACATTGTGACTGTGAGTAATTATCCATGTTGGACAACAACTGTATTTCTCCATTAACTGGCGCACTGACTGGGTCTGACTGTTGAGTGGCTGTTGCTTGAAGAACGGAAGTCCTTGCCCTTCGCGATATTTGCTCGTTGCAAGCTACTGTAACATTCAGAAGATTATCAACACTGCAGTTTAAACACAACATCGAAACAAAACATTCTTACGGCATCGTGATCATACGGCAAACTGGATATGGAGGTGGGTCAAGAATCGGTACCCCAAATGGAACCCTGGTACGTGGAAACATGGACCAAAACCTGCGGTCCCCTGGTGGTTTAATTTTGACCCATACCCACATAAAAAAGGAGCATTCTTACGGCATCGTGTTCATATGGAAAACCGGATATCTTATTCTTATAGCTTTCTAACATATGAACATACGTATGTTCTGTAACATACTGTGGATGGACGAAAACCTGCACAACCTAAAAAACCCTGGGGTGATACTTCCCCTGTAAATACCAACAAACAACGGTTTGCTATGGTTTCAAAGTGGTGCAGGATTTTGTCCACCCACAGTATGTTCGTAACATTACGAACAGTTCATACGGAGAACTGGATAGCTTATAGCTTGCCCAGCAAAGCTCGGAGCCCAACTTGAGGCTGCTGGCGCTTCTACCCTGGCCAACTGTTGCCGAAGCCCCCGTTCAAAAGGCAGCGAGCCTCATCAAGTCCAAAAAGAAATGGCTATGATTTTCTAAGGGACCCTTTGGTGGCATCATTTAGGTGGGGATTCATGTCCACCAATCACTTTTAGGTGGTTTCCTATTAAGATTCATGGCCGAATGAGCAGAGTTTTTTGGGTACATAAAAAGAGGGAACTCCGCGGAACCTGCGCGAGCCTATGCGAGCTGCGTGCTTACAGGGTTTCAGCCTACGCGGAGGCAGTTCCTATGCAAGAAGGCCTACACGGCCTACGCGGACTGCGCTCGCACGCTATTCCAGCCTACGCGGATCCGGGCGCTACAAAAAAAAACTCTGCTCAAACTCAAATGGACATGCTGCCTTTCCTTGATCGCAGGCCCGGTCCTCAAGGACAGGACCTAAGTGAACGACATGTACACTCGCGGCCGGCAACTGCAACTGTTCTGGGGGTTGATTCCTCATTCTTTCCAACCATTGTTCTTCTCAAAAACCAGCTGCTTCCCCTGGGGTTCTGATGGTTTTCTGGAAAGAAGGATCCCGGGGAAGTGTCCCCTAGAACCTTGCAACTCATCCGATCCTCAACAACAAGACTGCTTGCTGCACTCTTTTACGAGTGCAAGCATTGCAAGTGCGCACACGCGCGGAGGCGCGTTTCAAACCACGCGATCCCGTCACGAGGCAGAGCAAAGGCAAGGTCCACTGGCAGGAATAGATTCTTGAAATAGGCGATCACCTGTTCCACAGACAGCGCTCCTAAAGAATAGTCATTCCAGGGATCCAAAAAACTTGGTTCGCTCAAAGCCCGACGTGAAAAATCGCCTGAGAAACACAGAGGCCTTCCATAAACAACATCTGCTCCATCTCAGGCGGTCATTCAGTTCAGAGGCAAAAGCAGCGTGTGGTTTAAGATGTTCACCTTGAAGCACGAAGCATTCACATAAGTATGCGTGGTTCGATTTTCTCCAATCTAGAACCTTCTAAAAGGGCACGAAACCAGTGGGTTTCTCAACCTTGCCCCCGCCCTCGTGAAAAATACGTCGTCCGCCCACTTCGGGGCGGGCCAACCAACGTGGTGCTCGCAGGCTCGATCTCGTCCCGTGATTGACACGGACGCGTCTTGGAACGCGTTCCCAGGGATTCGGCACTTTTGGAACGCGAACAAACATAATAGTGGACCATGGACGCTGGAAAAACCATGTTGGAACATGAATGAAAAGAAACTTCTTGGAACATCGCTGCGGGTCGCTGTGGCTCTAGTTCTCTGTGGAGATGCGCACGATACATGATACATGTGTCGAGCACCGCAGCACGTGGCATGTCTGTCCACTACATGTCTCATTGACTTTCAAACATCAAAATCTTCTGATCAGATTGGACAGCGCCATGCAGCGCCAACCCTGATGCATGGCATTCTGCTTTCTGCTTGTTGGCCCCTGCAAGCAGATCGCTTAACTTGTTAGGACATAATGTGGGGAACAAGAGCACGTACAACAGCAACACGTACATGACCAACAAACACGATAGGCGTTTTCAGGCTGAAAACAGTATGAGCCATCGGCAGGCCTGACCCTACGCAAATCGAAATGTGTAGATATATGTTCCAGGCCGTGAACCCCCCCTGCCCCCCCCAACCCCCCCACCCCTGTGGGGGTGGGTTGGGGTGGATGGGTGGTTGGGGTGTGGTTTGAGTTGGTTTAGGGTTGGTGGCTTGGCTTAGGGTTCAGGGTTGGTTTACTGTTGGCGGGGGGGGGGAGTTAGGCGGCCAGGGGACTGGAACAGATATAGCCCGGATATCGGAGCAGCCGATTTGGATCCCTGAGAACTGAGGCATTGTCCGTGTCGCGCTCTGTTGTTCAGAGCTCGCACCGGCGGATCTCGCGTTTCGTGCCCGACTTCACGTTCATTTGATGCATCTTTGCCAAGTCCACCTCGTTGAAGACACGAGAGCGGGATGCTTCACTCGCAAACTGGGTGTAAAAAAAAAAAAACATGACCCGGAATTCAAATTATGTAATTCGTGGTGTGACGTCACTACCATCTGGAACAAGGATTCAACAATGTGGTTGAACAAACTAGGCAAACAGGCACAGCATGAAGGCTCCAGTCGCTTGTGCATCCAACACAGCGCATATGTTGGAGCAACACACACATGAGGGTAAACAACCAAAACAAACAATCTCAAAATGGGCTGTCAATACCAATCCGCGAAAGCAGCGTCGGAACCCTGGCCCACACACACACACGAGAAAGCAACTGTGGCAGAGGGGTCCATTGACTCTTCATGCTTTTGATCTTTGCCCACACGCGCAAGACGCACACGCACACACACACACACATACACACACACACACACAGAGAAACACACACACACACAGACGCAGAACCCGAAATGTCGTGGGCTGCGAGGGAAGTGCTGGGCGCTTCAAGGAAGCCCCCGCCAAGCAAATATACGTGGGCCCATGCACCCGGATATTTCAGAGTGGGCAAAAACTGTGTTAAACCTTACGCCGGGACGTTGGGAGCGAGACGTGCAGCCAAGCAGCTTCATAATGCTGCCCCCTGCCGACAGGAGCGCGTTCAAAGTCGCGAAACTTACAAGTTGCCAACGCAGGCGCCCATGAACACCAACGTCTTTCCACGTGGGATTCTGAATGCAATGGTGTCCATATTTTTGGTCAAGCGCATGACAAGCCGCATCTCTTTTCCACTCAGCCCAGTGGATTTCCATGGGGTTCCAAAGGGCATCCTTCTTTCTTGGCTGGAATCAGGACCCCAGCCAAAAAATATGTATATATTTTGCCTGTTTAGTGGAAAACAAAGGGAACCCCAAAAAGCGAGAAAAAGGCAACAGGGGGAGCGAATTCTGGTTGGAAGCTTTGCCTGGTTCCTTTTGACGCCTCCTGAAAGCTGCCCGCTGCCCCACCCCAGAAGTCCAATTCCCAAACGGGGGTTCACACCCCGGGGTCCCGAATTTACACCGCCAATAGAAAATGTCGTTCCACCCAATGGAAGAAAAAAACATGAGCCACAAGCAAACCAAATGCCAAGGGTTCAACGAAGAATGTGTGTGAACAAGACAACCATGGACTAAAAGCAAAACAAAAAACAGACTAACAACAGTTCAAACTACAAAAAACCATAGACTAAACCAGCAAGATAACGATGTGGCCATGGGTCAAAAGCCCGTACACCCGGCAAATATCCCAATCCCCACTAACATAGGTTCTGAAATGGGTGGTGCACCTACCAAAATGGTACCCTTGGTTCTGATCCGCAGCCATGTGTGCAACTACGATGTGTGTGAGCAACAAGACAACCATCGGTTTCTTATATATATATATGGCTATGTTTTTTTAGGGGTCTGTAATGCGCGACGCGCCACGAATCTTGTTACGGAGATCTGTAACGGAGATCCTTGTCACGCAGCTCTGTAACGGGACAGACAACATTTCCTGACAAGCAGTCTCAGTAGCACAATGTAGCGCAGCACAACGAGGTATGTAATGGCTAGGTAACGAGGTCGGTAAAGGTCCGTAACGAGGCAAAGCAAAGCGCAGGACGCAAAGCGCGCCTCCGCAGCTCCAGCTTGATTGCGGCAACTCAACGCAAGCCAAGCTGCGGCGAAAAGCAGGGTCCGGGCTGGGGTTGGGTGTGTAACGAGGTATGCAACGGCTATGTAACGAGGTCTGTAGCGAGGCAACGCGAAGCTGGCCCGGGCTGGAGTTGGGTCTGTAACGAGGTATGTAACGGCTATGTAACAAGGTCTGTAACGAGGCAAAGCAAAGCGCAGCACGCAAAGCACGCCTCCGCAGCTCTATTCAACGCCAGCCAAACGGCAAAAAGCGGTGGTCGCTGGGCCGGGCTGGGGTTGGGTGCAACGAGGTATGCAACGGCTATGTAACGAGGTCTGTAACGAGGCAAAACAAAGCACAGTTTGCAAAGCGCCTCCGCAGCTCCAGCTTGATTGCAGCTATTTAACAAGCCAAGCTGCGGCAAAAAAAGGGCAGTCACGTCACTGGCCCGTTTTGTTCATCTGAGGTGTGTAACGAGGGTGTGTAACCAGGGTGTGGTGTGTAACGAGGGGTGTGTAACGAGCCAGCTGGTCTTGTTACAGAGGTCTGTAACGAGGTCTGTAACGAATGTCCGCCGCGGCTCTGTTACAGACCCCTCAAAAAAAAGAAGCTGCCATATATATATATATATATTTATATTTATTGTTTATTGTGTTTTTTTAGAAGAAGCACAGACGAACAACAGTGCACGCCATGAACAAGCCATAGACTAAAACAAACCAGGCCACGATGCCGGCCGCCATGGGGCCTGATGGTGCAGCTCACCGTGGACAGCCCGGCCAGCGCGGCGTCCTTCAGCTTGGCGTCCACGTCCTCGGGGAAGTCCCACCAACGGCCTCGCGGGGCAAACAAAAAACAAACGAAAAAAGCCCAGGGCCGGTGGAGCTTGGGTGCTGCAACGACCCCCCTGCAAAAAGTTCAACTCTTTTTTTCTTCAGTCTAGTGCAAAACGCCTTTAATTTGTTAAAAGGTCAAAGTCTAAAGATCCAACCCAACAGCATTCAGTTGGGTCCCATGTTGACCATCTCCAAAAATGGCAGACCCAGATCTCTGGGGGGGATGTCCCTGGGTGAAATGTGGGGAATGAGACCGCTTTCAGAGGGGAGCACCCTATTAATAAACTGAGATTGATCAATATGGGGTGAACAGCAGATTTCACCATAAGTCACCTGGCAGATTCAGGGGAAGAAGGTCAGTTTCCAAGTTTACCCCGATGCATCCTGGAGGCAGCTTTGACCATAAGTTACGTCACTGTCCGTCCCTTTACCCAACGAGAACTTGACGAATTGCCGCAAGGGCGCAGTTGGGGACAACGAACCAGCTGTCTTGATACACATGGCGGCTCGTTTTGCAAGTTGTCGGGGGATTCCACTGTGAATGGAAGCGACTGAATGCAACATTCAAATGAGCGTACGTGATGCCTTATTTTTAGTGGCGTATTCCAGAGCCTAAAAGAAGAGATATAGCACATATACCCCGCAACGAGAAAGCTTGAGAGTGCAGACGTCTCAGAAGTCGCCGATTTGAGGCAACGGATGCAACAAGTATGAAACATCCAAACGCGATGCTTCAACATTACCAGGGAATGCTAGACTCACTCATCCACTTTTTCTGGTGCAGCGCTGCAACTGCCGGAACAAAAATACATGGATGCCCCAACCGCAGAGTCGATCGCCCTTGCCGAACATCATGTATATTGTAGGGCATAGCATGAAAAACTTGTCAGCTCACCAACCAAGCACGATGACAAAAAAGTCATCTACTGTCAGTTGGTAGGTAGAATCCAGCAAATGACTGCCCAACCAAATTACTCCCTTCCCCTATTCATACAGGCACCGTATGAAACAAAAATGGCTCTCCCAGACCGTGTGGTCCCCAATACAGCTTTTAGAAGAGGCCAATTCTAACCCAATACTAAACTGGATGATTGCGTGCCAAACCCCACCCAGGGGTCCTCCAAAACGCAAGCTCCCTGCACAAACCCCATCCCAATCAGATGTTGTAAACAACCAAAAACCTTTAAAGTTTGTACTACAACCGAATGACAAAGTAACAAATTTGAAGCTTTCCACCCCTGCTAAAAGTTGAATTTTTAGTGGTTTAATACGGAAAACCCAAATTCGTTGGCAAAAAGTTCCTAATATTCCTTGGCAAAATTTTCACCAAAGTCCAGGTTTTGACCCACGGGCCATCACGGGGCTCACTCATGGGCGCCCACAGGCCTCGACCATTGGAGACCTGCCACTTGTAGGGCTTCTCTTCTCCACCGTCGCCGTCGCCGTCTCCACCTCCATCTCCATCTCCACCCAGGGAGGTGGCAGAAACCTCCACCTGCGCGCGGCCAGTCGCAATAGAAAAGCTTTCGCAACGAGGACTTGGAGTTCCTGTGAGACTAGGTCCAAACCAGTAGAGAGCTTAGAATAAGGGTGCCCACTTGTTTTTTCTGTTTTGTCTATTTTAGTAGGGGAACCCTCCCCCCAAAAAAGAGTTGGTAAAAGGGCACTACTGGGGGACCTAGAAGAAGATGTGATTGGAGCTGGCTTTCAGCGCAAACGATAAACAACGATCATGCACAAAACCGGAGAAGCGCGCAATCAAAGGACCTTATTTGTAGTATGTGTTTCAAGAAACTCCTTGTTGTACACTCCTACATGGATTGATGCCTAGCGTTGACACACGCCAAGATTGAGCAGATATTCTGCTCTGCAGCACTCCATGGTTTGACGCATCTTGAAGCAAAAACACCAACTATAATACAAAACCCAAGATGTCTTGCTGATTCATCAAGCCTGGGTTTGTAGCTCATGAGTCTGTGAGCACCCGAGTTCTTTCGCAATCATGATGAAACCGCTTGTTGGCACTGCTGAGCTTGTTTGAAGGGAACTCCGAAGGAAAGCCACCATTTTGTGGGTCTTTTTGGTCTGCGGCCCTCGGCCCTCCAAAAACATAAAGAGTCCACACCACCGCTGACGTTTCCCGGATTCTTGTTGGTTGCGCCTCACGGATCTTTCGGGTGGTCCCGCTCTTGGTGTTCTTCTGCGTCATCTCCTGCAACACAAAAACCGATCGAGTCTTTTCTGAGGGCTTGGACTGGAGACTCGCCGAAGTGAATCCGCAGAAACAAAAAACAAAAAGACATAGGATGTGCGGCCTGACTTTCCGCCGAAGTCTTGCACGCTCGCACACACACACACAACCACACACACACAACCACAACCACACACACACACACACACAATTCCAGTGTTTGAAAATCTGGGTTAGCCGCAAAGTTAGCTGTGGAAACAATGGCTTGGTTCGAAGATTGCAGGCAAGCTGCAGGGCTATATGTGAAGGCTATGGGAAGACTGCGCGCAGACTCCGGGAAAACTGGTCGAGGTCGGGAAGTGGCAACATGGCACCACTAAACATCTGAGCCGTGCCAAATACTCTTGTGTAAAAAGCGGTCCTATGAACTTGCTTTCGCGGACCCTTTCGCAATGCTTTCGCGACCCCATGTTTTGCTTTCGCGGGATTTCTTTAGAATTGCTTTCGCGACGCTTTCGCGGCGGACTGTCGCACAGCATGCAGGCTTTCGCGGGTCTTTCGCGGCGGGACTTTCTTTGGTTACTTTCGCGATAAGCTTTCGCAAGCTTTCGCGGCCTGCGTTTTGGCTTTCGCGGGGATTCTATAGGACACCCCCTTTACTACTTTGTATTGTCAGGATTTATGGCGCTGCTCATCTGGCTTGGCTTGTTCTCATGAGGAAAGCTCGCTCAGCAGCCATGAGCTCAAGCCTTGTCAATGAGACCGGCAACATGGTCCAACCGAAACAATCAACGGTACACAGCAGTCTGGACTAGTAAACACACAATCGGTCCGGTTTCCTGTTAGGGAGACCAAACAGTGCGATGCGTAGATAAGTGATGATCCGGAGAAATCCCTCAGCGCTGCTACCAAGACACTAGCACTCTAGAATGTAGATTGCCGGAAGAGTGATGAACTGCGGGTTTTTTGTCCGCAGTGCGCCTTGGAAAACCACGCATGTCCGCGGCCCCACATCTAATCGGCCATTCTCAAAGCGACTCTTGCTCCCAGTGACCCCATGAGAATTTCTGGATTGAAATGGGTGTGGCTCAAAATTAAACAGGAGGGGCCAACCGCAGGTTTTGGTCCATGTTTCCACTTGCCAGGGTTCCATTTTGGTACCGGTTTTTTGAGCCATACCCAAATAACCCTCAGAACCCCCAGTGTCTGAAGGGGCGAATTTCTTCCCAATTTCTGTGCCCTAGAAGGCCATGCTGAATAAAAGGGACCCTTCTCTTGGTTGCTGTTGACCCCCCTGCAAAAAGCTCTTCACTTTTGGGGGGTGTAGTGGAAAACGTCTGAAGATCCCACCCAATAGCAGTCATGTCCTGGTGGGTGGCACTGGGATTTTCGAGACACCGCCATCCTCCAGTCCCATTTTCCCGGTCTCCTTGAGATCGATCTCGTAGGGAAAGCCCCGGGCGCGGAAGTGGTGCATCGTCTCACCTGCGAAAAAAAATCCGAAAGACCCCCAAAGCCAAAGTAGGTCGCAAAAAAGAGCAACCAAGCTTAGTACGTTGTGAGGGCAACCCTTGGTTGACGTTGGAAGGGGAGCAAAAATTATCAAGTTTTAGCAGTTAGGTGGTTGGATTCATCAACCACTAAACCACAATAAGATCAAACATGTTTCCAATGTTTCCCAACAACGACAATGAAGAAGCCAAAACAAAAATCCCCCCAAAAAAAGAAAAACACGCCATGGGTGTTGAACACTTTTTTTGTGCTTCTTGGTTTTGAGTTGAAGTCCTGATTCTGGTGGGGTTGATGAGCCATGGGGTTGAGCCAATGGGTTGAAGCTCCGAAGCCATATAGAAGGACTTCCATGTACGAAGGGACGTCTGAGAGCACGGAGCTTCCTGTTGAATTTCAGGGAGTGGTTTTAGCTGCCATAATCAAAGTGCAAAATGGTTCTAGCAAAATGGTTTTAGCACCAGGGAGTGTTGAAGTCATAGTCAAAGGAGTGTAGTGCCCTTTTACCCCCCTTTTTTTGTTTTGGTTGGGAGGGTTCCCCTACTAAAATAGACAGGAAAAAGAAACAGCTATAAATCAAACAAGCTATAAATGGTTTTAGCTGCCATCATCATAATCATAATCATAATCAAATCATAATCAAATGGACTATAAATACCTAATCATAGTCAAATGGGGACTCGGGCTGGGGAATTCTCCCGCTGCCTGTGATTTGGTACCTGAAAGCATATCTATTTGAGTTCTTTGTCCATGACAAGGAACCACATTGGAGCTAGGTGACAGCCAGGTGCCTCGAGGCTATCCATGGGTTTGTTGAGATCCATGTTCCAAGAGGAAATTCCCCTCTACCACTCAATTGCCCCTTAGGGACCTGGAAATAAAAGGTGATCACCTTTTGGCACCATGACTAAAAATGGTTACCAAAACGAGAAATCCAAAAGGTTAAAAGTTTGGGCAACTGAGACCATCAATCCATTCCAAAGGGCCTTTCTTATGCATGGTACAACCCCTGTGCGCCCATCCTGTTCCAGACCCAGACATGCGTCCAGGAAGAAAGGCGTTTTCCTGAAGGCACGATGCCCGATTTCGCCAACTAGACTTATCAGGAGCCGAACAGTCAAGAGCCTTGAGAACAGCTTGATTCCGATTGACAAAAGGCCTCACGCTTGGGTGCTGTAAATCCTCCAGCAAAAAGTTGAACTGTTTGCTGGGAAGTATGAGGGGAATCCAAAAAGTTAAAGTCTA